TATATTCCCACGTGTACCTACTATTTAGCTCCCACTTATACATTAGAATATGCAGTATTTGGCATTCTGTTTCTGCATTAATTCACTTAGGATAACAACCTCCAATTGCACACATGTTGCTGCAAAGAACCCAATTTCATTATTTTTCATGGCTGCATAATATTCCTTGGTATAGATCTATCACACATTTTCTTTTCCCATTCCACTCTTGATGGGCACCTAGGTTGATTTAATGTCTCTGCTATTGTAAAAAGTGCTGCAATAAACATACAAGTGCAGATGTCTTTTTGGTAGAATGATTTCTTTTTCATTGGGTATACCCAGTAATGGGATAATGGGGTTGAATAGTAATTCTATTCTTAGTTCTTTGAGAAATCTCCAAACTGCTTTCCATAGTGGCTGAACTTATTTACACTCCCACCAGCAGGGTATAAGAGTCCCGTTTTCTCCATAACCTCACCAACGTCTGTTATTTTTAACTTCTTAGTAAGAGCCAGTCTGACTCCACTAGTTAATCTTAAATGCAGATTATATCCCCGAATTTCCATCATTGAAGTTCCAATGTTTTTATAACTCCAGTCTAAAAGTTGCTGGAGGGAAGTTATCATCCCTGCCACCAAACAGAATTTCTATGAAAGTCAACTCCAACTTTTCCTTGAGTTCATAATTAGAGAACCAACATTCCCTTTCTCCCTTAGGGCAATTTGGTATGGTCTCCAAGTACAACTTTTCTTCAGCCCAGTCTGGTAGTTCTTCATCCTGGTCCCAAAAACTTGGATATTATGGCTTCTTTTACTCTCTTGCTTTCTGGAAGACTCCAAAAATCAGCTCCTAGCATTATGAGTTCTTCAGATTCTAAGGGTGGAGATCAATGTTTGCAAGACTTTTCTCTGTTACACTGCACATTTCTTTCCATTACCCACCCACAATAACAGTCAAAGTCTCCTTTTTCCTTATTACTTGGCTTCCAAGTCTGTTGGCTAACCCGGTCATTATATCCTGGCCAAAGCTTGGGCCTTCTTAGCCTCTCTTGAGGATATGCATGTCCCTGCTAAGCCTTCTAAGGGAGCTTTACAATCATTCTCTTTGATGTCACCAGGAGAAACAACTGATCCTGGCACTACATATTCTCACTTCCCCATACAGGTGCTCCTCCTCTGAATACTGATACAACTATAAACCTATTACCCTTCTTTAGGTTACAGTGATTCTTCTGGACTACAAAGGTGACTTGCAGGGCACTATATAGTAGAGTCCTTTGCTATTTCTTGGCAACTTCCCAGCCCAGATCTCCTAGGGGCTTTGCAGCAAGGCCTTGTGGCCAACTTAGTTGTCCCAATACCTGCTCTCCCTTTCCCTTTCTTCCATAGTAGTGGTTTAACGTGAGTATGCAGCTACCTAATTTTTATTTTTATTTTTTTAGGAATAGGATCTCACTCTCTCACCCAGGCTGGAGTGCCATGTTATATTCATAGCTCATGGCACCCTTGAAATCCTGGACTTGAGTGATCCTCTTGCTTCAGCCTCCCAAAGCTCTGGGGTTATAGATGTAAGCCAACATGCTTGACCCCTGGCTATCTAATAAAAGACCTTCTTAAGACTTGATTCCAGCTGAATGTATTCATGTTACTGACAAGTGTAATGTGAAAGAAAGTAATATGTGCCACTTTCAGGACTTTTAAAACAATTAAATATGCAATGCCCTGATTTCTTTTCACCTTCCCATTTGCTGTCTAAAAGATGGAGATAAATGAAACTGCTCTCTTGGACTCAGAGATAAGAATCCAGGTTGAGGCTGGCAGAGCCCCCCTACCACTCTGGACTGTTACATGAGAGAGAAATAAACTCTGTTTTGTTTAAACCACTGCATTTTAAGCTTTAGTAGTGACAGCAGTTTTATTCTGTATCATACCTAGTTCACCTTTCATTTATCTTTATATATATATTCCCAAAATTTGATAGGTTGTAGTTTTCCAAGATAAATAAGTAAATTCAGCTGTAGTAATAATTCTTGATTATATAATTCTGTAATAAAGCCTCTAGATGGAGACTAATAATAGCTTTATAACCCTCTGTGGTCAACAAAGACATAGTCAACACTGCATTTAATTATTTTTAGCTCTATTCTGCATGTCAAACTCAAGAAGTTTTTAAGAACCCCATATTCTTCTTTTAGATCTGATCTAACTTAGTATCTATTCTATGGTAGCAGAACTATCCAGGAGTTTTCCTCACTAGATGTGATTATCCGAAGAAAAATAGCTATGACTTCCATTAAAAGAAACATAGGCAAGACTCCCAGTGATGCATTCCCCAAACAAAATATGAAAAGAGGAATTTACCAAGCACTTATGAAAATTGTCCCCATATGGCTTCTGAATTGTTCCTTTGCATCTCAGGTTGAGTAGTAAGGTTGACCCCCAAAGGGAGATAGCTGCAGTCTTGTTCTGTCCTTTGGTGATATGGGATGACATTTTCTCTCTATGGGTTAATAAAACAGTGTTAACCACACTTTCCTTCCTAGAAAGTCCTATAGCAGCACATCATGTTAAATAAGTCATCTCAAAAAAGACCCATAACAACTTTTGAGCAAATCCTTTTGGAAGTGGAAGAAGAAAACATGAGGGAACTTTTATATCAGTCATGATCCAAGGACTATTACGATGGCAACTCTTTAGGTACATATACATATTCCCCTGTAATATTCTAGAGGATCCTAAGAGCCTGTTTGAGAGTCACTACTCTAGGGTTTACAGATTAGTTCACTTTCATCAACATCATCATCATCATTGCCATTATCATCAATCAAACATTATCATTAAACATTGTGTGAATTTCAATCTCTGTATTAGGAATTGGAGAGAGAGAGACAGAATAATTCCTTACCAACTAACTTTCAAAGCAGAGAAAATGAAACGAAAATTTTTTCTACGTATCTCAACATCTGCCTTCAAAATTTAGGAAGCCTTCTAGGAACATGCTAGCATATTTTCATCTCTCTTATCAACTTACTTGTTATCTCACAACAAGAACTTGGAATTCTTTATGTCATTCCACATATAATTCTATAGAAGCCACCCCTTTCTTTTCCTCTTCTTCTCTCCTACTGCCTCCAACACTATCTGTATTGTACGAGTAGTAACCCATAGATTGATCTGAAACACACCTTTCTGTTTCTGTGCTGTTCAAGCTATACTAATAACAGCCAATACACACAGATTCCAATATGCTCCACAACCTGTCATACATATGCCATTTTACTAAACATGCAGAGTAAATTGAAGTAAAAGTGGTACTTTTTAGTATTGAGTACAGAATAACAACAATTTTTGTCCTTTTGTTCCTTGTGTTATGGCTGACACAGGACAGAGATAAATTAGTACTTCTCAGAGTGGCAAGACACATTGGGATCATTTTGGAGAGAATACAACCATGTCAGGTCACCAATCCTCTTTCATTGCTATTAAACACTAAGCCTTTGGAAGCAGATGAGTTTTTTCTTTTTTTCTGTTTTGATGTACACTCCTTTCTGATTTAATTGCCCTAGCCTAATCATTCTAATAAGATGTTACAATGGATAAGAGATTCGTGAAACCAGTAACTTCATTAACACTACAATTGTTATTGTATCCAGTCTTATTACTCATTATCCCTTAAAGTCAACTGATAAATAATCAACTCCATAAAATATGTGAGTATCTATGTATTAACATTCATGCTTACAAACTTACAGGCTTCTTGTATTATTCACCCAAGGGGCAATTATTGAGCATTTATCATGCACCCCTTCTCTCATACCAAGTAATACACTCTGCTAGAATACAGAAACGCTATATTTATTTGGTAATACCAAAGCAATGTCATCAGACCTATATCGTGCTCTCTTGTTCATCTCCTTTTCAATTCATTTGCGTCTGAACAGTTCAGTAGATGATACCTGAAGAGAAAAAAAAAAAGAACATAACATTTCTTTGTTTGAATTGTTCTCATAGTTGGTTTATGTAACATAAAAAGTAATGATCCTAAATAATGTGTATTTTTAAAAACTATGATGTTGAAAGGCTCAATTCTATGCTGAGACACAAAGGACTAGAATATAAAGTGTTTCCGGTAGAAAAATGAAGAGAGAGACAGAACAATGTTTTGCTGCTTTTAAATAAGCCAGTCAAATAGTTCAGTCTAAAGGCTTGTGTGTGTGTCAGTGTGAGATAATCCTGCCCTCTCCCTTCCTCTCTCCCGGTTCTCCAGGGAAATGAGTCACACCTGCTCACTGCCCTTGATGTGATGTTTGATATTCTGAATTCCCATCAGCCCTGCACAGCTAGGATGATGTCAGCACAGTTGACATTGTTAGATCCCTGTTCTGTGTACATCAACTCCCTGTCGTTCAGGCGTCAGCTGCGTGTGGTGAAGGGGAGGAGGCATCATCTTCTTAGCAACCAAGCCCACGTATCCAGGATCCAGAAATGGCATCTGGCAGTTTGCTTTGGGGATTTCCAGCACTTCCCAGAATTTCAGCCAGATTAGAACACTTGCTCTGAGTTAAAAAGAAATTACTCATTCTCTTCCCATCAGGATGTGTGTACTTTTACAAAATTTCATATCAAAATGTTTGTTACCAAAGTATGTTTTGCTGAAGTCCTCATCCCCTTTTTCCTCAATTCCTTTGGAATATTCTTTACTGACTTTTTAGAAATAATCTTGCTTCTAGTTAAAAACAGAAAAGCTTAAACGAGACCCTTCTGTCATCCATCTATCTCAAGTCAAAAATATGTATAATATGAAGAAGCACATTGGAAAGTAGGTAATTATGCTAATGATAATAATAATCTTCTAAGATGTCTCCAGATAAACTATGGCAGTATTTCTAGGCCTTGTTTTCAAATTACACACATTTAACAAAAAATACAGTAACACAATGAACTCAGTTGCAGCACATAGACATTTAAGCTTCTACTGATTGGGAAAAAAGAAAGAGGGAGAATTTAGGGAAAAAACCTAAAAGGGTATGTATTTCGGAAAGTGTTAGAGTAAAAGAATTATGGTAGTACTACGCCACCATGCCAAAGCTGTCAGAAGCCCCAACAATGGAGACAATGTCTACTTTTCCAGAGTAGGTTTTTCCAAGTTATTACGGGTATCTTGGCTGCTTCATATAAATGGTCCCAGTTGTTTTACAGTTATCTTACTGCTCCACTTACTTATTCCCACAAACATTTCTGAGTAGAATATCTGCCTCCACGACATGTAGAGTGAAGTGGGAGATTTAGGTACGTACTGTGGTCAGAACAACCCTCCAAAATTCATGTGTTGGAAGTTTAATCTCCAACGCAACAGTGTTGGGAAGTTGGCCTTTTGGGAGGTGTTTAGGTGAAGAGGGCTTCTCCATCATGAATAGATTAAAGCTCTTATAAAAGAGACTTCAGAAAGTGTTCAGCCAAGTTGCTTTCTTGCCCTTTCACTTTCGGCAATGTGAGGATGCAGCAGGAAGGCCTTTAAAATGTTGGTGCCTTGATCTTGAACTTATCAGTCTCTAGGCCTGTGAGAAAATAATTTTCTGTTCTATATAAATTACTCAATCTCAGATATTCTGTTATAACAGCACAAAACAGATTAACCAATAAGTAACCAGACAATGACAGTACTGGGTGATAAGTGCTTCCATAAGAAATAAACCTAGGGTGCTGAGAGCAGAGAGAACCAGAACCCAACTCAGCCTGGAGTTCAGATATAAGAAGTCCTCAGGGATGACTTCCTTGAGTCTTCATAATTCTTTTCTCAATTATAATGCAATTGCTTTTTATAAGTTTGATGGACTTTGTCCATCAAACACTACTAAAAATTTTAATAAGCAGCTCCACTCAGTCCAGGCAGCTTATTTTTTTCCTGACATGCCTAAGGTACCCTGAGCATCCACATCCCACAAAATGAAAAACAGGTATTTCATTTGGCTTCTCATAACAGGGAAAATGAGAAGAGTTCAGAGAGCTCTCTTTTTCAATCTCAAGATCAGAATGGGTGAGGACTGGTGGCTATATACAACACTTTCTGGTTCCCCTTCCCACAATGGGTTACTTTCCATGCTATACTGTAACTGCTTATTAGCTTGTCCTTCATCTTCAAGAAACCAAGTTTTTTGAAAGTATAATTCTTTCTCTTATTTACCCCACAGTATCTCCCAGCTATTTCCGGTCTAACCTAGATCCTAGAACGGCACAAGTGTTCAATACATTTTACTGTTGAATAAATATTTTATGCTTTTGCATCTGTTTCTGATTTTAATCCTAACTTTACTCCTGTAGTTTGGAGCAGTGTTTCCTAGCATTTTTCACATATTAGCCATATAGTAAATGAAAGTATTTTTAAGGCATACTTAGGTAAATGAGGGAGGCTGCCCCAGGCTGCAAGCTATAAGCCCCAGGCACTGCCTGATCCCCTCAGAGCCCACCTTCCATACCACACCCATACCTTCCACTAAACATAGGGGATCCATAGAAGGACATATCTGAAACTCATATCACTTGAAAAGCTCTTCTGGTGTTAAAAAGTGAGAATGAAACTGGTTAACTTTCTTCCACTCAGCTATCCGTAGCCTAGCTCTCCTTCTTAATATTTTGCAGTGTTTTTACTATTAACTTTCAGTTTTTAAGGTATCTTCTTTGGAACCCTTGCGCATTGCTGATAGGAATGTAAAATAGAGCAGCCCCCACGAAAAACAGCATGCAGTTCCTTAAAATATTAAACACAGTATTATCATGTGATCCAGAAATTTCACTACTGGATATATACCCAAAAGAAGTGAGGGTAGAGACTTGAGCAAATATTTGTACACCATGTTCTTAGCAGTATTATTCACAACGGCCAAAAGGTAGAAGCAACCCAAATGTCTATTGATGAATAAATAGATAAATAAAATGTAGCAAATACATACAGTGGAACAGTATTCAGCCTTAAAAAGAAAGGAAGTTTTGATACATGCGACAATATGAATACAACTTGAAGAAATTATGCTAAATGAAATAAGCTACTCACCAAAGGACAAATTTTGTATAACTCTGTTTACATGAGATGCCTAGTTAAATGGTGGTTTCCAGGGGCTTGAGGGAGGGGGCAATGAGGAAGTCACTGTGTAGTGGTATGAGAAGTTTCAGTTCAGGAAGATGTAAGAATTCTGAAGAGGGATAGCGGTGATGGCAGCAGAACAATGTAAATGTACTTAATGTCACATCTGCACACATAAAAATGGTTAAAATGATAAATTTTATCTTATATATTTGTTACCACAATCAAATAAGTATATCTTTTTAAACGGCATTACTAAAACATAGAAAATGATAATAATTATTACTATATCTATCTGTGGAATGATTAATGGAATGTTTGGATGCACTGTTATATGGCCAGACATCATGGAAAGATACTTTGTTTCTTATCTTGGAAAGCAGAGATTTGTCAACAAATGTTCATTAGTTGCACCCCTAACCCCAGCTCATCAGTGCCACCACCAGTGTCTGTTGTCCAGATGGCTCTCTGACATTTCACACATTATGCAATTCTCAAGTCATTTCAGAATGGATCTCAACTTGACTTCTTTGTCATAAGCACAGACTCACACACTTTTTTCATTCTCACTCTTGCCTTAAATTTTTAATAAATTGTGATTAACATTTAAATCCAAATGCAAAAGCCTTGATCGACTTGTACTTACACTGATCGATGCTTCCAAGAAATGCAAACCTCTAGTCTCTTGAAGATGGAGCATAGTTTTGGACATACACATTTTCACAGTATGACTAGCACTTTTCTCATGATGTGTTTACACAGCACAGCACAGAATTTCACATGACTTGATTGGCCTGTTCTTTTGCTCATTTCATGCCCAGCCTTTCCAATATAAAAATTATATATTGTTTTTTTTTCCTCACCCAGTTTCTATGCTTTCTTTCTCACCTGCATCTTAGATGCTTGATTTAGAGCCCCATTTCTCATTCTCTGATAAGAAAATCATATTGCTGACAAATTAAAAATGTAGTCTTGTTGGGAGCAAACATAGGCAATTTTAGTCACAAAGAATAGTACAGTCAGCCCAAGAGAAACTGTCAGGAGCATGAGTTTCATAGGCCTAAAAACTATGTTTAGCAATGTAATCTTTATAAGACAACATATATAATTGTAGCAAGGTAATTTGGAGCTTATCTGTATTTCAATTCTCTCACCATTGTAGCTTCAACCCCTGTCAAACTGCCTGGCACACAGTAGGCCTTCAATTCCACTCCACAGCACCATCTTCTAAATCAGTAAATGATGAGGTGTTTAGCACCTAGAAATAAGGTGCTTAGTAGAAGGGAATGTAAATAAGTAAGAAGTTGATTACAATACTTTCTACTTCACTGAGACCTGGCCCTGAGGGGTTAGGAACAGTCCTAGGACGAATTAACATCCACATTGAAAAACAATAGTAATGATAAGTGGAAGAGGATAAAGAAAGTTTGAGCTTTGTCCTGGGGCAATGAGAAGCTATTACAAGTTTTTAAGCAGGAGAGAGCTGTGATCAGATTTGTATTTGGAAAGATCTGCAGGTCAGATATGAGATCAGACCAGAGAGAGACAGAGAGAGAAATTTTTGAATCTAGGTGTTTTTTGAGTAAAGTTTTAGAGGATAAAATTTTGCCTATGGAGAATTCCTAAAGGTTCACTGTGTTCTGAATTTAATTGTGATCTATCTCTGACCATAAAGGACTTTAAACCCCAAATGACACCAAACTAGACTTGGCCTGCATCTAAAGTATTGAATCAATTCCTAGAGGGACTCTGCTTTCTAGCTCCTTCTGGGAATTCTTTCCTGTATGTTTCACAGATGCCTCAAACTCAACAGAACCCAAACCCACAGCCTTTGTCTGTCCCCCTTCCCTCCTTGACCACTGCCATGTGTCCTAT